GCTGGGTAGTAACTGATTACATGTAATCTGGATTACGTAATCAATTCTTAAAAATTAAGTTTAAGCAGTGTTTCAACATTGCATCAACTACTGATGAACACATTAATTTTTATTTGAATTATCACTAGAATTATCGGTAGGTTATTTATGGCATGCAGATAAACAAATAAAATATTTATTTTTGTTAGCAAGTGTTTTATTTTAATATTACATTTTTATGATTTAATTAATTATTAGCTTTTCCTTAAAGTCACAATCCCTCTTCAGTTCATTTATGAACTTCAGTTTGGGAAACCTTGACTTAATGTAATGTTTATTGCACTTTATGTTGTTAATTACAACAAATGGAATATATATTTTTAAATCAATATGGTACAAGATTATAATATTTAAATCAATTCGATATTAACGAGTTAGGTCAAAAGTAATCTAAAAGTAATCAAAAATGTGTCTGATTATATTACCTAAAATGTATAACGTAATGGATTACATTACTAACTACAAATTGTGTCATTTAATTTGGAATCAGTAACGGATTACAGTTTGTAAGTAATCTTCCCAGCTCTGCCCATGATGCATTGTGAGGAAATCGGTGGAAAAAAGACTCCTCACAAAGGTGGTGCATGAAGTGAGCTAATTTGTTAAGATGATAATTTTGAGTAATTTTGAGATGAATATCAACTAAAATAGTACTCAATATATCAAATATATTAATAGTACTGAAAAAAATAAATAAATAAATAAAAAAAAATAATATATATATATATTTAATTAATCAATTGCGTAATTAATAATAATGAAAACAATACAGCATTTAAATAATAAATGAATTTAATTAATTCAGATTATAAAAAATTGGCAGTTTTGCCTAATATTGCTATGAGTGGCTTTTTAAAAATAAAATTACAATTGGTTACATTTTAAATTACAATATTTTTATTACATTTTTTGTCCAACAATTAATGTAATCAATAATTTCAAGATTCAAAATGTATATAATGACAATGTAAAATTTATCCATATGAATTGAGCAGTTTAATCCAAGTCTTCTAAAGAGACATGATTGATACATATATTTAGTACTGAAAAGTATCACTAAGATTATTTAATTAATTAATCATTAAATATTTAAAACAATATAATAATTAATAAATGCTAATTTGCTCAACTAATTCATATAGTTAAAATGGCAGTTTACTTCAAATTTATTTATTTATTACTGATTTATATATTAATTTATTTATTGGCTTATTACAGTACTGTCATTAGCTTAGAAACCTGCAAATCCCAAACTCAATTGAAATCATTTGCTTGACACCCAAGGTTGCCAGTGTATTGTGTACCAATTCAGTCAAATCCATTTCAGTTAGGATGCTGCCCTAAGCAGTAGACTGCAAGGCTGCTCACTAGGTTTGGAATGCAGTCTACATCAAATGTTTTCTTCCACCAGAGGTTTTGAGACCCAAGTACTGTAAAAGCCTTTTCAGATTGTCTTATCAGAGCCTCTCAGCCAGTATCTTGGACTTGTTTACTGTCCCATGAAGTACATATGGGCTTTCATAACACACTGTAACTCATGTTCTCAGCTAGGGCAGTGGAAAATCACTCTAGTCGACCATGTGACGTCAGTCATCAGTTGCTCTTCTCAGAGCTCACACCTAACATATCATCTGTCAACAGCTTATGTGAAATCCAGCCCACTCCCCTCTGCCCACTTATGGAGCTCAAACACTTGAGGGGTTACACTTGTAACCATAACAATGGAGAACAACATTAGCTTGGAGACAATAGCTGATTCATAGAATAAAATCAGATTTTGTATATAAAAAATCCATAGGAACTCGCACATAGAGCACATAAAATATGGTAAACAGAACCTCATGTCCATGTCTGACTCAGGAGAACTGGTGAGGTTTGTTCTTGTGCATTATTTATGTTCCAAACATGAACAAACGTCTTGTGAAAACTGTCCCTTTAACTACAGAGCTGCTGATTGTATCAATTACTTGTAGTAGCTTATGCCCCAATAAACGTTCTATAATGTCCAAGCTAATTTCATTTATCAAAGTAGAACTGTTAGTCCCAGTGTTGATTTACAGTTTATAGGGGTTTTAGAACTGGGTAGTTATAGGAACTAGCAACCAGGGCAGACCCCCGTGAACGTCTCTAGGTTACGTATGTAACCCTGGTTCCCCGAGGGAACGAGACGCTGCGTCGAAACTCTTTCTCATCTCCCATGGAGATTCTCCGAGTAGGGCTACCAGGTCCGCAAACCATGGCCGGCCCGGCCAGTACGGGGCTACTAATATGAGACGAACCCCATCCCGGCGAACTCTCTCCAGAACTCCCGGGAGCAGAGCAATCGGGGAGAAGGCGTACAGACGAAGCCTCGGCCACGTCTGTACCATAGCATCCAGCCCCAGAACTTCAGAGTTAATATTGGCGGTACGAATGCAACCAGGAAAACATTTCCTAGGGGAACATTTAGTTCTCAGGGGACCGCCCTGGTGACTCGTTCCTATAACTACCTGGTGCGAAAGCCCCTTATGTCACTGGTAGTTCCTGCTGTGCTGGGTTGGACCCTACTCTAAAGTAGGAGCTAATTTAGTCTCTCCAAAAGGCATTCCTATAACTAAAATCATTCCCAGTTCCCAGAACATCACACAAAGCGGGTACTTCTGCCAATAGCTATAGGAACTATGAAAATGCTCCTCCAGTGTGAAAGCCACTTATGATGGGCTAGGAATCAAGAATTGGTTCCTAACTATTATATTATATTCCTAAAATACTAAAACCGGTTGTTTTACATGTTTTTGCTGGTATAGATTGGGCAATGTACCGGAATACTCTCTTCTTTCCAAATGTCTGTCGACCTTGGCAGAAACAGCCATGTCACTATGTGGCATGTTCTTCTTATGCGGACAACTGCAGTGTTCTGAGTTCTCTCATTGCCTGGAGAGGTTTGAGAGGGCAGCTGTCCCCCTGCCCGGAGTCTTAGTTAAATGTGGAAACTTACTGCAGATACTGTGTCCTTGCCGTGTCAAATTGCAGTGGTGGTCTTCCAGGGTGTTTTCCAGCTTCTAAAGTGACTTGAGGGATTCTGTGCTTGTACTCAAGACTTTGACCTCGAGACTTTCAACATTTTACAATCTAAATTTGTGAATGGCAAAGTGGAAATACTCAAATGTGTGGACGTTTTAAATTGATAGTTCATCCAAAAATAAAAATTCATTTACTTACCCTTATGTTGTTCCAAACCCGTATTACTGTGTACGTGTATGACCCGTATCTTTCTTCTGTTGAAAAGAAAATTAGATATTGAAATCAATGCAGACCAAAACAACATGGCATCCCAGTGGTTTAATTATTTGGATCAATCAATCAATCAATCTTTGTTTCTTTTTTTGGGGGGTGAACTATCCCTAAAATGAAAGTGTGTACCATGTCAAACTCATACACAATCTGAAGTCCATAGTATCTACCTAAATAAATAAACAGACCTTGAGCGAAACTAAACTTTAAGTAAAACAGTTTTTAAGTATTACATATTTAAGTATTGTTTATGATTCACATTAAATTATAACAGTCGTTATTCAAGTATGCAAAGTTATTAAAAAAAGGAAATATTAATAAAATCCAAATGCAATTTGTCTTTTCTGTGTAAATCTCTGGGCCACATTAGAGTTATACCAAAACCTATATTATAAATGAAATTAATCAGTGTCAGATTTTATAGTATTTTAACATTTGACTGACAAATTGGTGGTTATAAATAAAACTTTTACAAATATTTCTTTAGGTCAACAGCTGTGACCCAAGCATGACTTTTATAGCTAATTAAAATCAAAATGCACATATGCTGTAAAATATGTAGCCAGTTTTTATCATTTTAAGTGGTAACAGAAATACATTTTCCCCGAGCAAAGTACAAATTCATTAAAACAATACTTAAGCATAGTAACGAAGTACAATTAATAAAGATTCCTAATTCCTGATTTCTACATCTCATATGATCTCCACAGCTGACAGCATCAACATGGGTATATTTATTTCCAGGACGAGCTAATTTTGTTATTAAATGTGTTAATTGAAAGGTTAATTCTCTCAACACTAAAGTATGTAAATGGTCTCATAATTATGCAGCACCAATGTCCTTCTCAAGTTAAATTTGAACTTTAAAGAGAGACGGTGGCGTGAGGGTAGAGAAGGAAAACCTTTTCTGACTAGGAGAACTGTAAGCCAAGTTCACATGCTAAAAATAAAGCTGGATCAGGCAAGGCAGTATTAGTAGAGACTGCAGCTCACACAGGGAACACAGTCAAGCTCAGTTTAAGCAGAGGGACTGAGACTTAGTCACAAGGGCAACACTAGTCCCACCAGTCAAGCGTACTGTCCCTCAGCGTGCACTCCTGCTGCTGCAAGGACAGAATCTCTTGCTTTGTGAGATTTTTCAGCGAGGACTTTTGCTCGACTTTTAGTGCTGTCTCTGCTGATGACTGTGACAACTTTGGGTATTTCTGCATCCAAACTTTGTATCCAGAGAAGCTTTCACAAACCGATATTGATGCAGAGAGACTCCACCAATCTGGATCGATCTGTCCTTTGCCACACTCGATCAGCGCTGTATCCCAAATCTCGAAATGTAACCTGGAAATGGCGACTTAACTCCACTTTTGAGCAAAGACTGTTGTTATTATTCTGCCATACGTGCTCTTGAGGCGAGGAATTTATTGCATATTGCAAGCCAGATATTGCAAGATTGTCTTTGCAATATTGCTAGCCATTTTGAAAATTGTACATTTAACTCTTTCACAGTATTTGATTTGGTCAAGCCACAAGGAGGTCAGAATGCGTGAACTACTTCCTATCCTGGTAAAGGAGAGAAAAGAGCGGGAGCGAATAAACAGCCTTCCTGCCCCAATTCCTGCTCCAACATTCCCTATTACATACTCTATCCAAACCTCTAAGAAGTTTCCCTTTTTCCACTTCAAAAAATGCAGATACGAGGCAGAGAATGCCTTCTTCTCCAACTTGAAGCTGGTGGACTTCAACATCATCGACACCTTGGGAGTTGGAGGATTTGGAAGAGTTGAGCTGGTAGGATAGGCCACTTCTATATGCATGCATTTTATGTCTTCATGTAAATGAATAAGTAAATTCATCAACTTCTTATATAATTAAGCACGAAAAGGTGATTGCAGTAAGACAGGGTTGTCCAAACTTGTTCCTGGAGGGCCACTGTCCTGGAGAGTTTAGCTCCAACCCTGATTAAACACACCTGAACCAGCTAATCAAGGTCTTCAGACTCACTAAAATCTTACAGGCAAGTGTGTTGGAGCTGGTTGGAGCTAAACTCCGCAGGACATGAGCCCTCCAGGAGCAGGATTGGACACCCTTGCAGTAAAAGTACAGTGAATGCATGTGGAGTCGTTGCTTTATGGCATTCTGGTGCGTGTTATGCAATAACTCAAAACAAAAACTTCTGTCAACCAATGATAAGAATACATTTTCCTAGGGGTGGAACGGTACACAGATGTCACAGTTCAGTATGTACCTCGGTTCGGGGGTCACGGTTCAATACGATTTCGGTACAACAGGGAAAAAAAACAAATCTACTATGCTCGGTTTATTTTCATTTATTTTGAACAGACAGTAGTACAAATTACAATTTTTTCCACCTAGATGTGAAAATACTAAATATTATTACATTGTTATATATATAAAATCTGCAGTATATATATACATACAAGGAATACATTCTTGAAATATATTTGATTTAGTTTACAGATAAACAAGAGAAAAAAAAACAGTGTGACACGTAACATAGCCTATATATGCTGAGATTCAGTTAATTTTTGTGACAGGCTTAATTTGTTCACAGAAAGGAAACTCAAATGGCAGAAAGCAACATCCGATTTGTTTTCTTTATTTTACAAAAGCACAGTGTTTTGTTTTTTTATTGTGAGTGTACACAAATAAAAGCAGACCTTTATACAGTGATGCATTATTAATAAGACAATAAGTGTTTAAAGTTGATTCTGCTGGTGTAAGGAAACAGTTGAAGTGATCGCGCCGGCGCGCATGCACACACACACGCACACACACACACACACACAAAACACATAAGTTCCAGCATTGCTAACTTGACAGCACAGTTGGTACTTCATCAAAATAAAATACAGTGAACCAAGCATCAGCGCGCCCGCCTCTGTGTCACCGTTGGAGCCCGAATGCGACTGAAGTACAAAGCCTATAATTTACATAATAAATAATAGTTTAGCATTCAGATACGTTACATCACAAATATGGAAATATTATGGAATATTTGGATTTGTGCCGAATGAGAGAGGTAGGATACACGAGCACAAAGCTCCATTTCACAAACAGTTGAGTGCACAAGCCTTTAAAGTATACTCCTTTGTCAGTCTGTGAGAGACGCATTCAGAATCGGCACATGGTCACTGTATAGTGGGCTTTGTTTTCAAGTGCACAACTCATGACATTCACTGTTCTTCTGCTGGCAGCCGGTTATCAAACAGCGTTGCATTGCTGCGGGCGCCCCCTTCTGGATTGGGGGTGAATTGCCTGTATTCGTTGTAAGGCCTCATGCACCGAACCGAGATGTCCGTACCGTGACGGTTCGGTACGAATGCATGTATCGTTCCACCCCTACATTTTACTAATCTACTTTAGACAGTGCTGGACAAATGAGCAGTTTTCATGTGTTCTACTGTGCTGAAGGATAGATCAGGTCTGGGAATGTTGTAACTCTATTCAGGGTAAATTTCCACAACAAAGTTAAAAGGGTTACATAAGTAGATAGATAGATAGATAGATAGACAGATAGATAGACAGACAGACAGACAGACAGACAGCTAGATAGATAGATAGATAGATAGATAGATAGATAGATAGATGTTCCAATGTAAATCATTATTGTATGACATTTTCTGCAGGACCATTTATGTTGAAGAAAGATGATGGAAACTTTGACGTAGACAGGAGGGCAGAGATCCGCATTGCGGATTGTTGTAAAGGAAAGCCCAGCTGTCTGGGAAGAGGATTCCCCTTTCCACTCGCCTATTTTTGGCACTGCAGCAACATAGTAAAAACAAGTGTCCTTTCGCCAGGGCTGTGATATGCCTGTAATGCTATCCGTTTGCTAGATAGCTACAGGATCAAATGAACATGCAAGTGCCTTCACAGAGACGCAATGTGAAGAATTCCTGCTCACTTGATCTATTTTGAGGACCCTTAACACATTAATAGATCATGACTCAAGTGCTATAATAAGGAGCACTGGCACTTGTTTTTACAGCTAGTTTCCATCGAAAATTAGCTTATTAGCACTTTTTCAGCGCTCATTTTTTGCATGCCTTTGGTGTCCACAGGTGCAGCTCAAGAGTGAAGAGACCAAAACGTTTGCAATGAAGATTCTGAAGAAGCGTCACATCGTGGACACGCGGCAACAGGAACACATCCGCTCTGAGAAACTGATCATGCAGGAGGCCCATTCAGACTTCATTGTAAGGTAGGTGCTAAAACCTCCTGAGAGCATCATTGGAGGGCATATCCTAAAAAATATCAAGGCAAAATCATATATTGTGGGACAAAATTGTGTGGTTGTGTTCCTTCAGGTTGTACAGGACTTTCAAAGACAGCAAATATCTGTACATGTTGATGGAGGCCTGTCTAGGAGGAGAGCTTTGGACCATTCTTAGAGACAGGTATAGCCAAATTGTTCTTGTGATGATGGCTGGTGCTAATCATGCTAAATGATGGGAACCCAGTAAAACATAAGTGTTCTTTCTTTATTCGTAGAGGATCATTTGAAGACTCTACTACACGGTTTTATACAGCCTGTGTGGTTGAAGCCTTCGCTTACCTGCATTCCAAGGGAATAATTTACCGTGATTTAAAGCCAGAAAATCTCATTCTAGATCACAGAGGATATGCCAAACTTGTGAGTATACATCTCAAGTGCCTTTTAATATGAGATGACACATTCTGAGGCTGGTGAATTTTGTTGTTAGTTGGTATCAAAGGGCGGGACTTCCTATCTAAAGCACATACGCCCCTTAGTGCTTCATGGATTATCAATATTTTTGGTCCATTTACCCAAAATGCCCTTTTTTATTGCCGAATTTGGAACACAATATTATATTTAAAGCTAAAGATGACGGACTAAAAGCCTCAAAGGTGCAGTTTTGATATGAAGTTTTGTCTCTTGTAGGTGGACTTTGGCTTCGCTAAAAAGATTGGATTTGGGAAGAAAACGTGGACATTCTGTGGAACGCCGGAGTATGTAGCCCCAGAGATCATACTGAATAAAGGCCATGACATCTCAGCAGACTACTGGTCATTGGGAATTCTTATGTATGAACTCTTGACTGGAAGGTAAAACGTGTTTTCTCTCATTGGGTTTGACAAGATAAGCTCAAATGTTATCAGATTGTGTGTTAGGATTACTTCTATATATATCTTTTATAAAATCTAATGCATTTCTGGTTCAGCCCACCATTCTCAGGACCGGATCCAATGAAGACATATAATATCATTTTAAGAGGAATCGACATGATAGAATTTCCAAAGAAGATCACCAAAAATGCAGGCAATCTAATTAAAAAACTATGCAGGTGGGTACATTTAAAAAGTATTGAAGTACAATATGACACATTAATACACATTTAATACATGTAAATTTCAAGTTTTAAATCAACTGTGATGTTCTAACCTGTAGCACACATTTATACCTTAAGGTTAAAAAAAAACCTTAGTTGGATGTAGATATAGCAAAAGCATTTTTGACAGAATATCAGCACTATAAATTAAATCTGTATTGAAATATATTGTTTCCCTCAGGGACAATCCGTCTGAGAGGCTAGGAAACTTGAAAAATGGAGTCAAAGATATCCAAAAGCACAAGTGAGTACTGTAATATCCCTGTTCTTTGGGGATTTGGGGAAAACTGTGGTTTTTAAGTCTAGAAAAGTGCTGAAATGTTATAATAAAACTTTAAGGTCAAGGAATTCCTATAAAACTAGTCTTATTATGCGGTGCATGGGGTCAAGATTTGTTTGCCATTTTGGTAACATTCCTGTTCAAAGTATAATTGTTTAAATCTATTCATTCCAAAGACTGAAATTTAACATAACTGGAAATCCCACCCTAACCACCATTTCTATTATGTTTGTCTGAGACAGATATTAATTCTCTTTTTCCATCATAGATGGTTTGAAGGCTTTAACTGGGAAGGCCTGCGCAAAGGAACTCTCACACCTCCAATTATTCCTCATGTAAGCATAAAACATTTCCAATTTAATTCATAAGTGTGAATTTGAATACAAGGAGGATAAACTAAGAGATTTGCATTTCAAATACATTTTACATAATTATATTGTTAGTTAAGTGCTGGATAAATTATAGTGGGGTTCCCCCCCCCCCCC